AAACAAAAAAGAGCTCGCAGAGAAACTTTATGCGTGCCTTAGAGGAACAAGAATTTCTAATTGAAGAACTTAAAAGGAGTGTTGCAACTTTGGAGGCACAATTGGCTGAAGAGAAGGCAAGAAGGCAAAATAAAGATGACGTTGGACAAAGTGTGCCTCGTACAGAACCATCTGTGAACACTGGTTTTGTATCCCCTACTGACATTGACGGAAATGAACAACCTTTGAAGACGTATGTTAGGTTGGATCACGAAGGCGTTACAAGGGAAGAGCACTTAGGACTCCATACACCGGGACCGTAGTGCTTAGAATAAAAAATGAAGATGATTTGGTATTAGTTGATTGAAAATGTTATTTGGAAAGTAACTGAAATTGTAATATTGTAAATAGATTAAGAAAACAAGTTTCAATGTATTCGATTTGGTTCAATGAAATAAAATTTGAGTTTTGGTTTGAATTGGTCTCCCTATTTTATTATTCAATACCATTGTTATTAGAGTTATGGGTTTGTCGATTTCAGAATGTCGTACTTTTTTTTGTCTCCTAAGGCAGGCTTGTTTGTAACATGTGGTGTTGTTGAGTGGTCATTTTGAGTACATGTGATGTGAGTGAGTCCAAGGAGTGTGGGGTGACCCCTCATGAGTTGGGGGAGGGCAACTGTGCAAGGAATGAGTGAGAGTGCTAAAAAAGGGCTTGGTAATCGTTTACAGGACCCCTGTAAACGATTACCCAGGAGAGAAATTGGGAATTGTACAGAAAGTCCAACACAGGTACTCAGTCAGGTGAACACAGGTCACCATTGGAAAAAAAAGTGACTTTTAGGCATTCTGCACCTGTCTGAGGCTGTGTCAGGTGTTTCAGTGGTGGGAGAGGGTGGGTGGTGATGTGATGTGAGTCCAAGGAGGGTGGGGAGACCCCTCATGAGTTGGGGAGCAAGCTGTGCAAGGATGAGTGAGGACTGTTAAAAAGGGCTGGTAATCGTTTACAGACCCCTGTAAACGATTACCCGAGAGAAAAGAATTTGTACAGAAAGTCCAAACACAGGTACTCAGTCAGGTGACACAGGTCACCATGGCAAAAAAGTGACTTTTAGGCACTTCTGCACCGTGAGGCTGGTGCAGGTGTTCCAAGGTGGGAGAGGGTGGCTGGTGATGTGATGTGAGTCCAAGGAAGGTGGGGAGACCCCTCATGAGTGGTGGAGACAACCTGTGCAAGGAATGAGTGAGAGTGTTCAAAAAGGGCTCTGTAATCGTTTACAGCACCCCTGTAAACGATTACCCGAGAGAAATTCTAATTTGTACAGAAAGTCCAATACAGGTACTCAGTCAGATGAACACAGGCACCATGGCAAAAAAAGTGACTTTTAGGCACTTCTGCACCTGTCTTAGGCTGGTGCAGGTGTTCCAATGGTGGGAGAGGGTGGCTGGTGATGTGATGTGAGTCCAAGGAGGGTGGGGAGACCCCTCATGAGTTGGTGGAGCAACCTGTACAAGGAATGAGTGAGAGTGTTCAAAAAGGGCTGTGGTAATCGTTTACAGCACCCCTGTAAACGATTATCCGAGAGAAATTGCCAATTTGTACAGAAAGTCCAACACAGGTACTCAGTCAGATGAACACAGGTCACCATTGGCAAACAAAGTGACTTTTAGGCACTTCTGCACCTGTCTGAGGCTGGTGCAGGTGTTCCAATGGTGGGAGAGGGTGGCTGGTGATGTGAGTCCAAGGAGTGTGGGGTGACCCCTCATGAGTTGGTGCCCACTCAAAGGAGTGTGGGGTGACCCCTCATGAGAAGACGGACGACAGAGAAGGCTTGAACGAACGAGAAGAACGAAGGCTTGAACGAACGTCTGTGGCACCCTAAACCACGAAACCCAAATTTTGTCAAAATTTAATTTGGAAAGCCCAAAATACCCCTATAACCGTAACCCCTTCTCTGTTCCATTTTCAAATTACTGAGCCAATGGCAAGCTGCCACGTGCACGTTGTCAAAATTGTGTTAAAAAAGCGTTGTTGGAATAACATTTTCCATCCGGTATACATATGTTTTTGTTTTTTAATCATATTCCTATTTGGGATCGTACGATTATGACCCGATTTTTTAGCGGGCCAATATCCGGTTATGCAAAGGTTTTGTGGCAGGCACCCGTCACTTGTGATAAGTGCATAAAATGCAGCGTCATTTGAATCATGGCTCTTTAACCAGTGTGTTACGGAACCTCCCAACCATTCAATGCTTTGGCTCAATAAGAACCAACACGTTCAATCAATATAAATCTGAGTCTTGGGGTTCGGATCTGTTCCAATTTCATCCAAGACGGAGAAAATAAGAAGAGATGGTGGGACCAGCAAGACCCTTGTTCGTCCTCTTTGGTTCTTCCATTGTTCAGCTCAGCTATTCCCAGCAAGGTTGGGGCGCCATTCTTGCTCACTTGTATGCTCGTAAGGTATGTGTGCATGTACCTTTCAGTATAGTGCTTTCTGTGAGGGAGTCAAACTGTGAAAGACTGTGACTTTAGACTTTTGATGCGTGACTATGAATTTTTAAGTTGTGAAGTTCTTCGACGTAGCTGATTTAACCAAGAGGGTACAACAAATGAGCCCGTTTGAGTATCAAAATTAAGGCTACCTTATTAAATGGTCTTTTTCTTTACTCCAACAACAAGCCTTTAAAGATTAAATCTTTTAGAGCATATCAGCAGAACGGACACTATCTCAGACATGTAAGTCTAATAATGTACTAAGTAATGGGGATATGTAAATAGAGTTGTTCTTGGTCTTGGATAACTTTTAGATACACGTGACATGATTTTGGGTGCGTTTGCATTGCAACTGAGCTCACGCAGAACTCTTGTTTGTGCATTGGAAAGTGTATAACTTTTGCTAAAGGTTAAGGTTATTCTAGCAAATTTAGAGTTTAGGATTTAATGTTTGGAGTTTTAATAGATCTCACTGGGTGAAGGTTGTAGTATTCTGTTTCTGTTCTTGCTTTTTATTTGATCAGACGAGCGTTGACATGAGCAAATGAATTCAGTGCTGCCACATTTTCAGGCACTCAATACATTTATTTATAATATTAGGATGAGGAATGGATGGCTGACATTTCAGATGTGTGTTTTTTAAGTTAACTGAGCCCAGATCTTCATGTGAAAGTTCTGAAAGATTTCATTTAATGAGTTGAAAAGTGGATGCAGAGAATCTGGATCCGAGGAATTGGTTTGTTTAGAGTACGGTTCTCATGTTGACCCTGCGGATGAATAATTTTCTTTGTCTGTTATGATTTTCCGTGAAGTTGGATGGAGCTGTTTTTGTTATTTTTGGTTACTGGATGAGACTATGAGAATTGCTTATTTTGGTCGGCATTTCCTTGGATAAACAAAAAGGGGTAGTGTTTTATTTATGAGACTAAGATCAAAAGAAGTGTGAAAGGTTCTTATTTGGGCAAAGAAGAGTGTCATTTTCCTAAAAAAGTTTGGTGTTGTGAAAATATTCCATATTCTTTTAATGTCAAGAAATGTTAAAATGAATAGGTGAACCTAAACTGTTGATGAATAATTTGCTGCCAGTAAATCACCATATTGAAATTTTTTTACGGAAATGGTGGTCATACTCTACTCACCACCCACCAATGATTTATTGTTTCAGTGCAAGGCCTTGGTATTATTAGAATAAGATCCAACTACAGACCAAAAAGACTATATCAAATAGATTAACATGAGATCACAGCATATAAAATGTCTTAATTTGTTTAAACTTCAGCCAGTAATTGAATGAAATATTTGCTTTTATTTTTTATGACTTGGATTGTCAATGAGTTTAACTTTACACCTTGATATGACATAGGCGGATGTAATTCTGCGAGGATACTCTGGCTGGAACTCAAGGCGTGCTGTGCAAGTTCTGGATGAAATTTTCCCAAAGGTACCTCTTCTTTCTTCAACTTCAATCTTTTGTCCTTCCATCACAAATGTTAAAAAACTGCTTATTCTGCTGTGGTCATTGAGAAACAAATGGCACCTTGGAAATGGACAGTGGTACAGAATGATGTAAAAAATCTTGGTACAAGATATCCTCATGTTGTCTTCTGAATGAATCTTGTCACATGTTAGGAAGATTATTCTGAATTTTACAATACGTAATCTACTAAAATGAACTACTCAATTATCAGAATTTATAACGTTTTTTCCAAGGTTCTGATCTGTCATCTTCTTTAACATAGAATGCCTCCGAGCAACCATCATTGGTTATTGTGTACTTTGGTGGTAATGATTCTCTTCTTCCTCATCCAAGTGGCCGTGGTCAACATGTACCTCTCCAAGAATACATAGAAAATATGAGAAAGATAGGTACCCATCTGAAGGTAAAAACAACACATTTCTCATTTCTTATTACTACATGAAAGAAACCCTTCACCCTTCAAGTATATTTTACAGAATCCCTATCTTTTTACCTTAGTTATTACTGCCATGCTTGACACATCCTTGTGATTGCCAGAGCCTTTCAAAGAAGACTCGCATCATATTTCTCACTGCACCTCCGGTCAATGAGGCACACCTTACTGGATACAGGTTTTGACTTCAATCTAACTGCTATTTCATTTTTATAAATTCACAAAAGAGGAAAGGCAGAGAACTAAATGCTGGTGATTTCTTCACTCACGTCAATACTGATTATATCATGACAAATATAGCCATATTAAGGGTAGCCAAAGAATTGGTGCATAGAAGTAATGAACTAGATTTGATATGCACAAACATTCTTATTTCCTTTGATTTTTCTTTCTTTTTTAGAACTTATATCTAAATTAGACTGTGATGAGCAAAATTTTGGACTTTAAACCAGTGTGCTACCGGGGCAGCAATTAAGGACAAACGAATCTTGTCGAATATACTCAGAAGCGTGTTTGGAGCTGTGCCGTGAGATGAATATCAATGCCATTGATCTGTGGACTTTACTCCAGAACAGGGATGACTGGAGAGATGTTTACTTCACGTAAGTATGCATTCTTGATTAATCACATGCTTCTTAAATTTAGAAAAGTTGAAATCTTCCTATGATTCATTGTGTTGAGTAATTCATAGTGACATGAACCTTAATTTAGAAGATTCAAATCTTGTTATCCTTCATATTTTTGAGTGGTGTTTGATAGGGAGGATGGAATTCATCTTTCTGCTGAGGGGAGCCATGTGGTTGTAAAAGAGATATTGAAGATGATCAAAGAAGCAGAATGGGAACCAAGCCTGCAATGGAGGTCAATGCCAACCGAATATGGAGAAGATTCACCTTATGATCCAATTGGCCCTGATGGAAGCAATGTGAATGTCTCCAACTGGACCTTCCTTGAAACTATGCAATGGGAATAGAGTTGTCTGCCCCAGTTCTTAGAATCCTTGAAGCAATAATCACATAATAACAGGAAATAAGAACCACATGTCTACATCATTTATCACTGGATTTTCTCACCTTGAGTGGAATGAAATAGTGACTATATATGCACTTTGATTGAGCCAATTGCCACAGCAATTCTAGGACATCAAAAGAAAAAACCCTTCTAGGTAAATGAATTCTAGGACATTAAACTAGGTCGATTATTTTAATCTATGTAACGTGTTTCACGATATGTCCAGATTAAAAGTTTGTTCGAAACAACCATAAAAGTTAAATTATGTATTCAATAATTTATTATAATCGATCATAGTCAAAATCAATCTTTGTTTATTGAAAATTTGTTTGAAGATAATTAATTTTACTCATATAAAAAAAAACACTTGTGAAGTTAAGAAAATCACAAATTACATATTTTCAAATTCAAGAAAACAAAACTTTGAAACATTTAACGTGTACTCCTTTTTAAAATCCTCTGATGATTGATCATTATTTAGATCTGAGCTGGCTCCCACTGATAGTAACTGTCACTTCCGACATGATTTTTGTTTTGATGATTTTTTTAATATAAAAACCTAACACGTGGGTAACTACGAAGTGCATAAATTGCGAAAGAAATTGCTTTGGTTTTTGTGTTTCGTGGTTGAGAAAGCGAAAGAGAAAGAAAGATGATAGGACGATGGAGACCACAGTTTGTGTTGTTTGGATCTTCCATAGTTCAGTATAGCTATTATGAAGGTTGGGGAGCTACTCTTTCTCATGTCTATGCTCGTAAGGTATATTGCCTTTTTCTTCTATTACTTACTCTTCAAATTAATGTTCTGCTTTCTTTTGATGAGATGCTCATCAGTGTTCACTTCTCTTATTATACTCTTAGATAGAACTTTGTGTTTGATTCCTTCATATAAGATCACTAAACATTTATGCATAATAATAATGATTACCCAAGATGCAGATAATGTAACTAAAACTCTTTACATTATGTTGACTTATAATATGAGTTTTTACTTAGCATAATGAGTTTAAATATTAAACTTCAGTGGTGTATATGTACATGCATAATAAACTATACATGGATTATTATATATTTATTTCAATAGTCAGTTTTTGTTATATAGACTAAAATTATTCATTTTATCTTTTTGAGAAATAAAAATTGTGAATTGTTTTTAATGGATAATATTCAATTAAACTAGTTTATTACTCAATATACAATCTTTACAAAAAAGAAATTACAAATTCTCTCATGCAATGTTACTGAGGATAAAATTGTAATTCCTTCAAGGAATTCTAGGGCATAAAAAACTTTTTCATGATACATAATTATCAAGTCTCGTATACACTCAAAACAAGTTATTGAGTTGTGATGTGCTTACTCAAACTAACTTTTCATTTTTTTTAATAGTAATTTTTTTATTCTTTTTATCACTTAATGTAAAATTTGGATGAATACCAATTTAAGAATAATACACAATATCTTAATATTGAATGCATTACTCTGCCATTTGATGAAATTGTTTTTTCTATCATAACATATACTGGTGAGACTTTTATTAGACTAAAATGTATTTTTATGACTTGAAAATGGTTTTAAGCTTTATTATTTGTAAATTAGTCCTTAATTTTATTAAAATACAAACGTTTTATCTCTTGTTGATATACTTAAGCTATTGAACAATGACAATAAAAAATTTGACATATAGCATAATTTGATTGCGTTACGGTGATAATTAATGAATCAAGTTTGTCGAGAAAAAAAATTGAAAAAAATTAAGGAAAAATATAGAAACCAAAAGCAAAATAACTAAATATACGCGAACAATAATACATTTAAACCTTTTGTTTTATTTGAGTTTTAGGAGACAAACTTAGCCATTTACGTGATACCCACAAAATGAAGAGTGCACGAAAACTCACTGCTAAAGGAAATTTCTGTTTGCAATTTACGTATGAAAAAGGTTGTGAGGTGAAGGAACCCATTTATGAATAAAACACTAATATATGATATAAAATATATGCAACTTAGTAATATTTGGTTGCAAGTGGAAAGATTATTAATGTGGAAGGATAAGGTCAATTATTAAGGAGTCCAAACAATAATGCATAACATGACATCCAATTGTTTTAAGAAAAAAATACAAAGAGTACACGACCTCAATCAAATTTTCATGGTCAGACTAGTAAATTCAAGTTAAATTATATTATACTAGCGTGTGTGTCTATATATATATATATATATATATATATATATATATATATATATATATATATATATATATATATATATANGTATTTTTATATAGAATTAATTAATTTTGTAGACTCGATTTTTGTTAAAATAGTTCAAATTGGTTTCTTAATTTTTTTATTTTCAATCAGGTCTCAATTTTTAATTTTTATTGTCTCAATTTTAAAAATTAATGTAATTTGATGATTTTCATTAATATTATATAAATAAGGTTAAAGAAATGACACGTGTGTTTTTATTATTTTTTTCTTTTTTAATTTTTATTTTATTTAAAAATAATATCTATGTGTTATGCATAGTGTCACATGACAATATAACATGATAATGTGTCTTATATTCAATTCACTTTATGTATTTGTTATTTTAATTCAATTCATTTATAATTCTTTCTAAAATGAAATAATTTTATTTCTAAATTTCATTTTTATATAAATTTTATAATTATATTTTTTTAATAAAATTGACATTTTTATTAAACTATTTTAAAATTATTTAAAAAAATAAAAGAAATTTTAAAAATTTAAAATGAAAACAAAAAAACTAAACTGATACATGAAATATTTTTAACGTTGTTTTTGAAGTACTAATAGAAAGATTAAATTACATCGTTTTTTTAAAATTAAAACCTAATTAAGACTAAAACAATGGAAGATTAATTTAAACTATTTTGACAAAAAAATAGACCAAAAGTAATTAAACTTATATAAAAGAATGTAATTTTAATGGAGTAAAATATAAATAATTTTATAAGAATAAGAGTTAGAGAGTTGTGGATGCTGCTATTATAGTTCTATTAAAGAGATGATACAATTGTATGTTTTATCAATGAAATTAGGTTTAATGTCTCAATAGTCCCTATTTTCGTCCAGAATCTCAAATAGGATCTTCTTTTTTTTGGCGTCTCAATTGAGTCCTTATTTTTGTAAAATCGAATCAATTACAGGCTTACCGTTAAATTGATCAGACCGGCGTTAAGGAAGGAGATATGTGACGCGCTGACGGTGTAATTTTAATTGACGTGGCTTTAAAAAGGTGTGTGAAGTGTATTTTTTATTAATTTTTGAATTAAAAAATAGAGTGCACGTTGGGAAAATAAAATTTAAGTAAAGGTAAACTTGAGAAATCAAATTAAATTAATAGATGAGTTTTAGGGTTCTGGGAAACTTCATTCCCTTTCTCTTTTCTTTTCTTAAACCAAAAACTCCAACAGTGGGAGTACGGCGGTGCACGCAGGAAAATTCTTCCTCTTCCTCTTCTTGATTCTTCGTACCATGGTTGCGGCCTTGTAGGGGAGAAGATCTAATTGTGGTTTTCGACAGTGGCGTGTTTCGCTTTAGAGCTTGTTTCTCCTTTCGACCTTGTTCGAACTCGCGGAGTAGGAAGAGTAGACGTCTTCCTTCTCTTCTTCTTGGTTCTGCTAGGGGTTTTGTAGGTAGGGGATAAGCTTACCGGTGGCTAGGACGCGAACCCTTCCATGTGGCACGGTGAGGGTGCGACAGCGATGGCGTCCCAGTGGTGCTCTGAGGGGGTCGCGGAAGCTTTCCTCCTTCGAATCAACCCGCAATGGTGGATGCGGGTTCAGTTCTGACCATCACTCCTGACGCATTGATCTCTGGCGACAACAGCAAGGGCGAGTGATTGCCTTATCAGGCGATGACAACGTCAACGACGAGTTGTGATTGAGAAATTCTTGACTCTACAATTTAGGGTTCCATTTATCTGATTTTGGAGATCAGGTTTTGCTGAAAGTGGGAAATTAGGGATTTTTTGATGTAATTGAAATTGCAATGTTTGAATTGGGATCTTGATTTCTGTTTTCGTTTCGAAGCTTCAAATTGATTTCTCAATTGCTGGGTTGCACTTATTTTCTTTCTTTTCCCACTTTGCCCTTTAAGTAAATATGATTTCCCCTGTCTAAATCTGATTTCCCCTGTTTGCAGTCTTTTTTTAATACAAAATACAATTCAAACATGTTTATAATGCCACGTCTAATTAAACTATGCCACGTAATTCAATATTAAACGGACGTTTTCCCAATTTAACGGTAAGCCTGTAATTGATTCAATTTTACAAAAATAAGGACCCAATTGAGACGCTAAAAAAGAAATGGTCCTATTTAAGATTCTGGACGAAAATAGGGACCTATTGAGACATTAAACCAATTTTTCCCAAGGTATGTTCATAATCTTAGTGCTAAATTCCTCTGTTTAAAAAGATTTTCGCCTTTTTTCAGCTTAATTTTCTTACCCTTGATAATGTGAACTTCCCACATCCATTTTTTTATATGAAAAGTTTAAATAAATGAACCTCAACATCTAAATGTTAAAGGTAAGATGAACTTGTTGCACACGTAATATCTTGAACAGAACTTATCATTAATAATTTAAAATATGGTGTAAATTATACTTCTTATTTTTTTATTGCAATACTTTAAATTAAGATGGTTTCGAAAACCACCATAAATATTACCGCCATAAATGTACATTAACATTACCATTGAACATACTATTTCGGTAATCATCACAATTTTCAAAATGTCTTTTATTCATGTAAATTCATTTTCTATGTCTATTGTAAAATATTTTCAAAATTTAATGAAACATCATTTTTTAATTTAATTTTAAATTAATTATTCTCTTTATTTTAATAAAATAATTAATGCACTTATTGAGAGAATGATTAATTTTAGTAAAATTATATTAAAAAAAATAGGCTTAATACTATTATTGGTCCCAATTTTGGTTGGGTATGTTCGAAATTGTCCTAATTTTTTTTTTCTGTTCAATGTAGTCCTAAAGATCGTAATTTGTGTTCAATTTAGTCCTTTTTGCAAACGTCGTTTAAATCATTAACGACCAAATGTTCAAATGTGC